GTGTTCACATCACAAAGAAAGCTAAATAAAATTCTTTTGTGTTCCTTCAATGTTACATTGTTTTGAGTTCTTTAAATTTTAGCCATTAGCTCACTTGTTGACCTTGGGCAAGCTGTTTTACCCTTCAGGCCTCAGCTTCGTCGTCTATAAAAGAGGCAACAGTCCCGTGGCTTCCTCATAAAGAATTCTCTAGTTGTTTCCCTCTCTGAGATAATTAGCAGAACTCTCTCCGATTTATATACTGGAACACCGTGATAGAGGAAATAGTAATTTACTAAAATGCCAGGTAAGTTCCAGAGTCATAAATATTGGTGATATATAAGGCAAATTTAACTTAATTACTTTTTACCAAGAAATAATTTAGGATGTCTAGACCAAAGCAAATCATATTTCATCTATTAAAAAAATCATTCAGGAATAAGAATGGGACAATTTCAAGGAGCTACTAAAACAAGACAAACAAAAATCCCCACATAGATGAGCTTACACACAGGATGAAATTTTAAAAGGTGTTAGTTTAATTTTCACTCTGGAATTGATCACCAAATCAACACATCTCTTGTACTCAGCTGTGCCAATGATTTATTTGATCTGACTGGCCTGAAAAGTGACCCTCTTGTTTCACCTGCTAAAGAATGTTTGATCTCCCATGACCTCTTCCTCTGACTAATGTCAGCAGAACAGAACATTCGTGTGGCATCCTTGATGAACACCCCCAACGGTGGCCTACAAGTGGCTCAGGGAAAGCAATTGTATTAATGCATTAGAGTAATTTATTGGCGGTTTTGTGTGATAGCATATTTACTGAAATGAGGCCTGTCAAAAAGACCAGGTTATAGCAGGAACACGTGATTTCCCAACAAGCCAGATAATATAAATCAAGTGCCTTTTCTGTCCCCTCCAGCCACCTCCACCCACTCCTTGTCCTCCATCCTCAGACAAATTGAAGCACATGCCACAATGCGCAGAGGGAAAATCAAACTCAATTTCGCCGTACAATGAAGTGAGCTTTGGTCTTGTCATGTCCACGGACATATTGATCCCTAGAAGACTGAAAACATGAGAATGTCCTAGGTTTCCGCTCTTATAAATAAAAACGTATAGAAATGCAATGTGTAAATGAAGGACAGTATACACTTACGTAGCTTTAAAAAGATGCAAGGACTCGGGGGGCTCCTGTTGTAAAACAGCGCGACGATATACAAGTCACTATCGAAGGGGTCACGTTTCCTTTCTCTTTAGAATTACAGCCTGGGAGACAAACGGTCTCCTAATCCAGGTTCATTTAAAGTGCAGCTGATCATTTCCCAGCTAAAAGGAGTTTTCACTAGTGAGGAAAAAAGCCCACCCTCGCGTGGCCTTTCGCGGAATTTATGTCAGCTCCACGGTGCCAGGAGCCCCGCGCTCCATCGGACACTGCCTGTTAACCTGGGAGCAGGCGAAGCCACAGCCCTCGCAGGCCCCCTCTGTCATTCGCACGGTCCCCCACGCCCACCGAGGGACGGAACCACTGCATCGCTGTGAGGATGACACTGTAAGACACGCACACCGCAAAATGCCCCAGAGCCCAGTGAGCTGCATTTCTAGCTCAGCGGGTGAGAGGAAGACAGACAGACAGACAAAGGAAAACCGAAGGGACACCCTGTTTTCAGGCGGGCGGAGCCCCAGCCGTGGTGAGGCCGGCTGACCGCTAGTCGCAGTGGATGCAGAGCGGGCCACAGAGCTGTCCCCACTGCACCGGGCGGTGTCTGCACGACGGTGCCCGGGCCCCTGTCACCGCGGCACACAGGCCAACGCCGCCCCGAAACGCCGCGCACAGGGACGGGAAAGGGAGCGGGCAAGGGGCCTGTCCGCTGATCCCGGCTTGAACGGTTTCAAAGCAGGAGCTTCTCATTTGGCACGGTCTTTAAGAAATCACAGCAGTGCCTCACATGACCACACTCTAAAGAAATTACTTGTGGTAAGTAAAGATAAATTTATTAGTAATTAGGCCGTCCTTTATTGTGAAATACACAGAAAAATTCCTTGAGATTTTTTTTTTCTTAAGCCGACAAGAAAATGACTTTACTTCATCAATCAGTTTGACTGAAGTAATGATTTTCTTAGAATTAAAATTGGTCGAGAGCTCTAAGTATTTCATCTTTTAGGCTGAGAAGCATGTAGTTAATGTCACAGCTAATACATTTGTCAGTCTGCTAATTTTCTTTTTCTACTAGAATAAGTAAACATCAGCCCTTTCTTAAAAGCACACTATTTACCATGTGTCAGGAGCAATGCAGGGAGAAGTTATTTGAAAATCACGAGGGAAGACATTAAGAAATGAACGGAGACAATGAAGGAGAAACATGAAAGGAAGAGGCACTTAACGAGTCCAAAGTGCGGGCGGGGGCCCAAGGTGCATGGGGGAGGGGGCCCAGGAAAAACCGAAAATCAAGCCCCAAACTCGAGCCGCAGGCATCTGGGAACATGTGAAAGAAGATACTGGCTTTTAAGTAGTTCAAATAGAAACAAGAACCATAGTAAGACAAAAGAGGGCTCATAAATGTACAGCAAGAATAAAAGAAAATGAGATCCTGCCCCACGCCGTTAGATCAGAGAGCGGATCTTACACGCTTGTGTCTGCGAGGACGGGGCGGAGACAGAAGGACGCGCTCCATCTCAACGCTTTTGAAGACATAACGGACCGTTTACGCTGTGTTGTGTCAGATTTTAAGGCAGCTTCAGTATTTTTACAACTAAAGAAAATAGCGAGTAAAATATCAATGGCATTACTTTGTTCTGTCTATTGGCAGGTGTTCTTTCTAAAATTAGAGTTCTTTTGGGTCATTTTGTTATCATAGATCTCTGCAGCACGACTTGATTTCCAAACCTTGTGTTTCAAACCAAACATTACCACCACAGTAAAATTTTCATTTAAAATGGACTTCAGAGTATCATTTTTACCTTTTTCCCCCTCCCTATCACATAGTTACTAAAAAGCAAACAACTTTACTTGCAAGTAGAGAGAACAGTTAACAGTACGAAGTACTGTAGCACTTTAGTTTTGATGTTATAAATTAGTGCTCTTCAGCATAGGTTAGTTAAATCTCTTACGAGTCCTCAAAACAGGAAGAAGCAAAAAACAGTTATATTGTGATAAGCCTGCATGGTGACCGATGATTACTAGAATTAGTGAGATGATCCCATTAGAAGGTATAAAAATCATTCACAGTATTGTACACCTGAAAATAATATAATATTGTGTACTGACTGTACTTAAAAAAAAAAAGGCTTGTGAAGAAATGGTATTCCTCAACTCAGAATTATTTCAGATGTTTCCAAATGTTCTTTTTGTCAGTTTTGGAAAAATTTAATCTGAAAGATTTTTCTAAATTTTTCTCTTTTGTTTGGTCACTAAGTGGACAAAAACTAAGAGGTACAAACAACTTCCTAAAATTTCAGAAGCCAGGCTTTCTGCCAAGAGCGGGGAAGGACGCATCATCACTCACGGGCTGTGGAGACTTAAACGTGCTACTTAAATTCTCCGTGTCACAGTCTCCTTACCCATGAAGTGGGCTTAAGAAGGGAGCTGCCCCAAAGTTCTGAGGACCCAATGCAATGTTACAATTCCCGAGAAGCATGCCAGTCACGCAGCTCACGCTCAGTATGGGCTGGTTATTATTAGTCACAATGAACCTGCCACCTGTCCCAAATACCAGGCCAGGCGTGCAGTGTGCATCTCAAGCAGCGGAACCCGCATCTCTCCTGTGCTCCACCCCACCTCTCAGGGTTGGCCGCTGAGCAGCCACACCACACACCACGTGAACGATGACAACACCAGAACTGATGTGCTCAAATCCATTAATATGATGCCAGGAACGAGACACACACTTAACGTCAATGCAAAGATAACATTCATCGCTGCCCTCTTCCTTGCCCTAGTTTTTGCAGTTGTCATGAGGCGTATGTACTAAAACAGTGACTAAAACTGCTGTGGGTATGGGTCTGAGTAACAGAACTTATTCCAATGCCTTTGCACAGCGGCAGACTGGCCAGCCCAGCTGCCTTCGTCTATTAATAATTCTTACCAACTTCCATTTACTCGGAACCATGGAGCTTTACTATCTTAGGTCTCATGTACTGGGGTTAAGAATTATTCTAATATTCCCAATAACTGTAAGCACTACATGCTTCTCTATGTATCTACTTACCTATCTATTGACCTACAGTATCTTTCATTCTATCCATCTGTTCCCAGCCCTCCAGCCCTTTCCCCTCTGCCTCCTCCCTCTCATCTTTTTTCCCTTCTTTGTTTCGCCGCCCCTTTCCCCCTTCTTTTCCCAAATCCCGAACAGAAACAAAAAGGAGCTCTGGTTCAGTCCCCCTCGCTACCAGCTGAGATAACAGAATGAGCACCTCGCTGGAAACTGGGGTCTCCAGTTCTCATCTCTGCCGTTTGATATTTGTAGAAAAAGGCACCCCAGAGGTGTCACTTCCTAGCCACCTGCGTTTGGGTTTCTTTACTTCTAAAATGAGGAAGTTGGTTCTGACACTTCTTTCTGGCCCTGGAGCTCTGAAATAAGAACCCTCGAAGATGACTATTGATATGCACAGAGACTGATGAGAGTACATGGTTTCCTCGAAAGGGTGGTTTGCAGACTTCTGTACCTCTAGCTCTAGTTTGGGAGTCTAGCCTTAAATCCTAGCACCCAATGGCAGACTGAAGAATCAGGAACTTTCCCAACGTTCTCAAGTGGGCAGACCTACAGCCTATATGAACAGTACCGGCCAGCACTCAGGATTAATGAACAATTTCCCAAAGGACTGAAGGGCACCTACAACAAGCCAGTTGCTTTTAAGAAAGAAACTAAGAGCCGCACTACAAACACCAGTACCAGACACGAGCACGTAACCATTGTTGGAAACACATGTTGCACCAGGCCTCCTCGGGAACCCTCCTGCACGTGAGGGGAGGCACCGGCGCTAACAACGGTTTCAGTGTGAACAAACGGGCAGCTTACCTGGCTGAGACAAAAGCGGCGTGTAAGGGACTTTCGGTTCTATTGCACTCATGGGTGGAGGTAGCAAGGGGTTAGCGAAGCTGCGGAGCGGGTGCGTGGGCCGGACGCAGGCCGTGGGGATGGTCCTGCTTGGGGCCTCCTCACTGCTGGGGTGCTCGGGCTGGGCTGGGGGCAGCATGGGTGGCTGCTGGGCGCTCGGTCCTTCAGTCACCGCTGCAGGGGACACAAGGAAATCCATTCGTTATTCCAGCACAGGGCTTGCTTCCCCTCCGTCACCCGAGGGACCCCTGGGTCAGTTCAAAATGATACGCTAGCATCTGGCCAATCTCTTCTTCTAGTTCTGGGCACCCCCCTCCTTCACATATTTATGGGATATGACAGCACTGTCCCTTTAAACAACAGAAATAGGTTCCGTGAGACAGGGATCTATTTTTCAGGAAATAGCAGTAAAATATATACAGCACACACTATATTGCCCGAACTATCTGGGCCCTGTAATCATAAGTGATGAAGCGAGAAAAAAGAGTTATTTCTCCCTTCATAAGTGGCAATGTCAGTGAAATTCAATGCGCCAAACCCGGCTACAGCTGCATTATTATCCACCAGCCAATATGCCAATTTTTCTGTGATTTAAACATGTCATGCCAACTATCAAACAAATCAGAGTTACCCGGTGTTAAAGGCATTGCTAATAAAATGATAGAAATAACACCCCTATCATTATCTTCCATAACAAATTGGACGTACATCCAACTAAAAAGTTACATGAGAGACGAGTCTGTGGGAACAAGCTGCCTGAACGCAGAATTATAATTTTTTCTCTTTTGTAGCAAACCTTGTAATTTGCAGGTAGATTACTATAGTTGAAGAGGTTTTGCATAGTCAGCTGTGACCGCCTCTGGGTACTTGTACAGTTTTGTGTAAGGAAACACACCTTTTCTCTAGAAAACACAGTTGAGTGGACTTAAATATTGGCAAGGCAGTTTTCCATGCTAAGGACAGTGACTTGCCTTTATTCATTCAAATTCAAAGTCAATAGGTCCAAGTTAAACTGCACACAAAAAGAGCTACATAGTAAGTAGAAGTGTTGATAAAATAAGAGTACTTCTGATGATTTGTTTCTTAAGAAAATTCTACTGGGCAAGTTGAAAAAAATGCAGTAATAAAAGATAATATCTCACTTCTGAAAGATAATTTTTAGCCAGGAACTATTTTAAGATAATTAGTTTGTGAGATAATTTTGAGACAGCTCTCTGGAAGGCTCAGTGAGGTCAGCAAAGGGCAGAAGAGATAGAAAATCTGATAATGCTGAAGGGAGTAGAGATTAAAGATACCAAAGAACAAGACATACTATTAAAGATATGCAAAAGTAAAATGTGCCTTCAGAGGATGTATGATATTAAAACTCATTTTTCTATATTCAGAAAGGGTTAGAGGCCCTCAGGCTCACCCCATTCAAAGGTGGAGATGAGAAGATGAATGGTTGGCTGAGGACAGGATGTAGCAACATAGCAACCAGAGCCAGAAAACAAGCAGAATTGGAAAAACAGTTCTTCAAACAAAAAACATGCAGCCAAGACAGCAAAGTAGGTAGAACTCTGGGGGCATGAGGAGTTTGAACAGAAATGCCTTATCTCTAAGCCAGGAAGGCCCATCGAAGACAGAGGAGAGGGGCACATGCAAGCAAAACTGCAGGAGCTGCAAGGACAGTGTTAAGGCACGTTCTTGGTGATGCTGGTTCTCAGAAAAGAGCAAAAGGGATGGGGTCTTCAGGTGGATATTATAAAGAGCTAAATTCTACATGCTTGTTAGGGTGTAAAGGGGAAAGGGGCATGTGTGCTTGTGTTCAGTCAAGATTGTGTAGCTATATAGTTGAAAATATGGTTTCAGAGAACAAAATTATGCAGGTTTTAGTCTGAATTCATAGTCTTAAGGAGAAAATTACTAATGGTCAATTGTAAAAAAAAACACAAGATACATACATACATGTACATCTCTCACTCTACGCCAGAGAGAAGCAGCTGCAGGGACCTGCATGTAGGTCCTTCCTCTTCATTACCAAGGGGCTGGTTTTTATTTATGGGTCCACACCAGCATATTAAAAATACCTCTCTAGGGGGGATTCTGGTCAAGACAGTGGGGTAGGTAAATGCAGTACTCACATCCTCGCACAACCACATCAAAATTACAACTAACCCACAGAACAACCATCATTCAGAACCACCTGAAATCTAGCTGAACAGAAGCCCTACAACCAGGGAATTCAAGGAGCTGCCCCGACACTGGTGGGAGGGGCGGAGGCTCAGAACAGGCTGGCCCCACGCCCACGTACCGCGTGTTTCTAATTGGGAGGGCTTTCAGCTGCGCTGGTCCCGTGAGGAGCACAGGCCCCTCAGCCCAGTGTTCCAGTGCTGGGGAGGGAACCCCCCTAAGCTCCCGGCTGTAAGAATCAGCGGGGCTGAGGCTGCGGAAGGCGAGGGTGGGGGGT